TTCACCATGTTGACCAGGATGGTCTCGATCTCTTGACCTCGTGATCCACCCGCCTCGGCCTCCCAAAGTGCTGGGATTACAGGCTTGAGCCACCGCGCCCGGCAGAGGCAAAGATTTTTATGCCAATCATGGGAGTGTAAATTGATGTAATAACTTTGGAGAATCATTTCAGGTGGAGAATGGCATGTGTGAAAGACCCGAGGCAGATCCGTGCGTGGTGTATTTCAGGATGGATGTGTGGTGTATTTTAGGAATAGCAAGGATGCCACTGGGACTGGATTGCAGTCAGTGAAGGGCAGAGTCGGAGGAGGTGCTGTCAGGGCACTCAGCTCAGCTGGGGGAGAGAAGATGCGGTTGTGTCAACATCACGGAGAAGGGAAGTCCTGGCATGATTTTGAGCAGAAGAGTGGCACACGGTGGCAAACGTTTTTATTGTATTGTTATTTCACTACCCACTTGTATTTTATTCTCAGCATACGTTATTTTGTGAAATTGGATTTGCATTTTGGAGGGAGAATCTGATTTTCGTGAAGGCATGCATGTGGTATGCCGGTGACGACATTACCAGCATTCCGGGTAAGCAGCCCTCAGCCCTGTCTCCGCGCCCTCCTGATGCAAGATGCTAATCAAATTAATTAACTCTCGGAGCCTCAGTGTTCTTATCTGTAAAATGGGACTCATGATGAAAACATCTTCCCAAAGTTGTGAGAATTAAAGAAATGACCCATAAAGGGGACTCAGAGCACTGCCTGGCATAGAGTAAGAGCTCAGAAAACATTACCTCTTACTTTTACAGCTTCGTGCAAGTCTGACTTCAGGAAGTGGTCTTACAGATACATTTTAGACAAAAATATGATGATGCCACACTTATGTTCAAAACCCTTCCCGCTCTCTCAAGGGTAAAATACCAAAACTCTACCTGGCCTTTTAGACACTTCTGCTCAAGCAATGCACATACTCCTCCTTATTATTTTTCCATCTGAAGTCCACTTAACTTACAACAGGAAAAATCATCTCCTGATTGGGGTTTCACAGAAACTTTCTCCTCCGTCCATGTCTCACACAGCCCCCCATGCTGCGTTTCCTGTTGCCAGCTCTTCGGTTCTCAGCCCCTGACTACACCCCACAGTGCTCAGTGGGGCTGGCTCTCAGGGTCAAGGCCCCTTTTCTTATTTATTTATTTATTTAGAGATGATGTCTCACTCTGTCACCCAGGCTGGAGTGCAGTGGCACAATCTTGGCTTACTGCAACCTCCGCCTCCCGGGTTCAAGCGATTCTCTTGCCTCAGCCTCCCAAATAGCTGGGATTACAGACCCTGATACCACGCTCAGCTCTTTTTGTATTTTTAGTAGACATGGGGTTTCTCCATGTCGGCCAGGCTGGTCTCGAACTCCTGACCTCTGGTTATCTGCCTGCCTCAGCCTTCCAAAGTGCAGAACTCTGTTAGGACCAGGGCTTAGCTTGAGTCCCCCAGTCTTTCCACGAGGTCCAAGCTTGAGATCATTATGGCGACCACATCTCAGAAGAAAGACTGGTCAGCAACGCAGTGACCATACTGGAATATTTTTGAAATATTTGAACTATTCTAATGCAAACTCTTCATGACATTTCACGTTGCATCTTAGGTCATTTTATTCATGTAGGTGTTGTGTTTCCACCTGACATTTAATTGGTATGTAATTTGTTTTTTTTTTTTTTTTTTTTTGCAAATATTATGTATGTATCTGAATCTAGTGTGAGAATTGTTACTCCATGCCTGTGCATCCCAAGTCACGCTTTTGAGTGAGGAAGCTGTGCCAGGCTGGACCTCTGTTACTGAGTGAGGGAGCTGTGCCAGGCTGGACCTCCGTTTTTGAGCGAGGAAGCTGTGCCAGCCTGGATCTCTGCTTTTCAGTGTGGAAGCTGTGCCAGGCTGGATCTCTGTTACTGAGCGAGGAAGCTGTGCCAGGCTGGACCTCTGTTTTTGGGCAAGGAAGCTGTGCCAGGCTGGACCTCTGTTTTTGGGCGAGGAAGCTGTGCCAG